AACCCGTTTGGGCATTTTAAGCAATCAATTCAAAAAACCATTGAGACATAAGAGGAGATGCAGCATGCACGAACACATAGCAGAGTAATTTGACAGCAGCAAACTGCACTTTTCACGTGATAATGCTGAAACGCAAGAAAACGCGCAAAAATTCACGACCCCGCTCCTTATTCCGAAAAAAAAAGCTAACGCAAGGACGAAGAAGAGGATACGCCAGAGCTCTAAGCCAAACCACCACGAAAAGGGAATGCCAAAGGGCGGAGCCAGCCATACTAAGAGGTGTGGCCAAAGAGGTGACGATTCGCCAGCTGTCAACTTTATGGTGGCACCAGTGACGGTCGATCAGAAGGACCGAACAAATTTCGCTCGGAAGTCAGATATTCGAGTTTCGACCGAACGGTTTCGAAGATCGGCTGGAATGCTGAACAGTCAGTTCGATCGGTGCTGTGACTTGCTTCATTGAGCCAAATCCTATTTTAGGGTGGCAAAATTCGTGAAGCACGCATACCATGAATGACCTATATTCATTTTACACAGGCGAGGTTTCGTTCCGGAACATTGGCTAACATTCGAAAGTGGGCTTTATTCCTCACAAAACTATGCACGTTTTAGTATTCGTATCTGGTGCGACAACAGAACAATTCTCATGATGATACTGGATATACTTGAGATAATCGCCTCACATTTTTTCACACAATTGCAAATACCCATCATATAACTTGCCGAAGTTGTTGACTACTTAATTCGTAGGATTATCAGCCACTTTAAGCATACGCATATGCTGAGTATTGAAATGGTCGAATGTAGCACCGAAAAAAAAAACCCCACAGAATTTTGTGCACTAAAAAAGTGGTTGATAGTTGTCACCTCAGTCTTTCCACTTATAGTTCTGCTTACAATTAGGTGTGCAGCAATCTGTAAGAGTCAACCGACTCCACTTACTTCTAGTCACTGTGAAGCGATCAGTCTCATTTCATTTGAAGCCGGAGCTGTGGGGAACAGACGACACTAAAGTAATGTACCTCTCCTCTTCCGTTCCACATTAATTTAGAGGGCACACCCTCAAATCGGTCCACTTTCATAATTTATTAGCTTTATAAAAAAAAGACGATATCAACATTATACATCCTTTAAACATCAATAACACATCATTCGAGTTCATACAATATTAATCAAAAACGCCGTAACAATGGGTTAAAGTTAAAACGAGAATTTCTACTCACTAAAATATGACAGCATCTACACAGAATATGAACACAATGACACTCTGTTGTAATTCGTTCGATTCCCGAACCCCCTCCCCCATTGCAGTCTTTCTATCGATCAGATCTTTTCGATGAACAACATAAATCATGCAATAATCACTCGTAAGAACAAAAATAATGAACAAGTCAAAACAATGTATAATGAAAACAACATTATTGACGTTGTTGCTAACTGCAGCCAAAATAATGACGATCAACAATAGAAAATTTTCAAACGGTCAACAGTAATAATGACGGCAACGATCATAATCATACGAAAGCATTCACAAATATACATTCATACACTATTTGACATAGTCATTTAGTTGCATATTCGTAGGAACATCAGAAACAATACCGTCCCTTCTTAAAAATCATCACATAGATACGTAAAACACGTTAAAATATTCTCACATATATCATCAAACTCAATGCAATTATGCAAACGTCCTGTCAAGCAAGTCTGTTATGCTAATGGAGTGAATCTCCCGGTAACTCTATGCCACTCACCAATTTTAAAACTTTCAGTTGACTTTGCTTTGATTTTCATATTCGATTCATCACAATCACATTTGTGTTCCGTGTATTATTATCATTATAAAAGTAATAACAGTACATAAATATTCACGTTTAAAATCTTCAAAAAATATGCGATATACAATAAAGGTTCAGTCGTCTGATGATCCTTCGCTCTGTTTACTTTTATCACTTTTCTCTGAAACGGTCCTCACCAGCACAGGCACCACCGTTACACTCTCGGAAGCAGACGCATCTGAATCACTGTCCGAATCGGAACTCGAATCACTGAAAACATCAAAAAAATCTCTCTTCAACTCCATCATAATTTTCATCAACTGATCTCGAAACAACTATAGCTGAAATAAACAATCTAGATGATCAAAATGTTAGACAGATGAAAAATGATCAAAATTAAGTTTATAAATTGAACGAAGTTATACAAAAAGAGATCGAAATGAAATCGGTCAAAGCACTACTGCGCTCGTGAGAACACATAACCATAACAATAATAATTGGAACAACGGCAGTGTTACCGACAATAATACCCATAAATAAGAGAATACCTCGATGAAGCATACTGACAAATTCCGGGTAACACACCAATAACTTTCATCGCTGACGGATAAGTTATTCTCTCATTATTAACTGAGCCATTATTATTATTGTTGTTATCACTCTCGACATCATTTCCATTCTTCTCATTCGCTGTTCGTTTTTCTTTCTCCACATCATTCGATTCACTTGTGCTGAATTAATACTACTTAAAACACTCTAAATCGACTGGAGACGTGACAGAAAGCACACGGGCCGGCATTTTTAAGTTGGACATTAACTGATGATATCAAAAATGGTAATAATAATGATAATAATAATACTGAACAATGGTAATACTATGACAACACCAAATATAAATCGACAAATAAAAGGAACCTTTTTCGCTTGATTGCACTTCTAATAATAGCCGCCTGTTTACTCTGTTTGGGTGCTGCGCTCGAATTACCCGCTTCGGGTCTTAACTGAGCTTTACTCAATGAATGTTCATTTTCAGATATTTTTCTGCACCGAACTCGTTCGAACTCACCCAGTATTGCCTTTTCTTCCTGAACACTCAAAATGTTTCAATCGTATCAACTTCTTCATCAATTACTGATAGAACTGTTTCGGTTTAGGTCACTCATATAATTCATTCATTAAACCGATTCCGTACCATTTCTTCACTAAAGAATTTCATATTTGGCCAACAAAAACAAGCCATATTCTGAAAAAACAATCACGGAACTCATGTCAAATGCTCACCTCCTTGATTAATCGATCTTGTTTCGCTTTCAAATCATCAACTTTCGACAAAAACTCAGTTTCGTCCGAATCAAGACCACGAATCATGTTTTCTTCAAACAATTAAAGTTATCACTATAAGGCAATGATTATACTACCGATACTGATAGCAGTCACGTCTTTATCATTACTGACAGCATTTGAAATAATCTAGATATGATATACCATGGAGACCGATTTCATCAACCACTCACCAATCTATCCGAATGTGACTCGCAATTC